CCGTCGCGGCCAGGCGGGGCACCCGGGACCGCGGCGCTGCCGGACACGTGAGTGCGCCCTGCGCGCCGCCCGGCCGAGGTGTGCCGGAGACCCCGGCTGCGTGCGCAGAGCGAGAGCGGTAGCGACTTTGAAGTGCGGAGGGGTAAGTGTCGGGAGGCTCCTGGGGCTGCCGGAGGTGGCACAGACCCCGAGCTGGGGGACAGGGGGCAGCCAACGGCACGGGCAGGGTCACCGCCCTGGGAAACCTCCGCCTCCGCGTGTCCCAACCCAGCCATTTGGGGGCGAGAGGGAGCGGGCGAATGAGGGAAGCGCTGTGGGGTCCGGGACCAGACCCACAGGGCCGGCAGGGTTGGTCTCCAACTCTAAGTTCCGTCTCAGTTCCGCGCCACTCCCGCTGTTTCCAAATTTTACCAACAGACGCGCGCGGGTCTGGGGGAACCCCGCGTCCGCTCGGTGCGCGCGCTGGCCGCTCTATCCCCGCGCTCCCGGGAGGTCTCGGGAGGCGCATGGAGGGCGGGATGGCCTAGTGACCACATCTTTTCCTTTTATCCAGGCAGAGCCTCGGCGCGCTCCCAGTACGGCTGACGTTCCCCTCGCCAACCGCACCCATGCTTCTGGCGCGGATGAAGCCGCAGGTGCAGCCCGAGAACGGCGGGGCGGACCCGGGGCCGGAGCAGCCGGTGCAAGGGCGCAAAGCCGCGGAGCTGTTGGTGGTGAAAGAGCGCAACGGCGTCCAGTGTCTCCTGGCGTCCCGCGATGGCGACGAGCAGCCCCGGGAGACCTGGGGCAAGAAGATCGACTTCCTGCTGTCAGTGATCGGCTTCGCGGTGGACCTGGCCAACGTGTGGCGCTTCCCCTACCTCTGCTACAAGAATGGTGGCGGTGAGCCCCCTGATGGGCTGGGGTTTGGACTTGGGAGGCTACCTGACCGCAGCAGTGGCCAGGACCGGGGCCGGGATGGAGGAGCTGGGATGCGCGGGAGAAGAGGAAGCACGCGAGCGAGTCTGGAGCGCAGAAGGGTCTGGACGGGGCTCACGGAAACAGAATTGGAATCCTCAGTGGAAAAGGGAAGTGGAGGCTTGCCCCTGGACAGTGATAGGTGCATGAGGAATGTAGGTGATCTTTTGATGGTTCGCAAGAAGATTTGGAGAGCTCTGGAAGGGGTGCCAGAAGTGCACAGGATGTGACAGCCAGGCACACGGTGATCCTAACTCCAGCACTTTGAGTCTTGGGGCAGGGACCTCTGGGCCAGAAGGGGAGAGAGGATGTGGGTTCCCTGAAGGCACTTGGGAGGCCTTGCACTCTTGGGGACAGAGACTCTGGAACTGAGACCCACAAAGAGAAGCTAATGTCAGAGAGCTCCACTGTCATGTTGGTGCTTGTTTTGATGGAGGGGCCGGAGTGCACAGTCTAGGTAGGAATGGGTCATTAGGGACCAAGAACTGGCCCGATGCTTGAGGCAGGTGAAGCCTTTGCCCCCTGCTGCCGCCTGGGGTCCTTGGCTCCGATGCAGGGTGGAGTAGGAGAGGGGCCTGGAGAAAACTCCAGTGGAAGCAGCGAGGCTCTCTCCCCTTTCCCGTGCAGGGTGACACGATACCCACTTGCCTGGGATGCAAGTCTAGAGACCAACTATAGCCCAACCAAATGGCAGAGCCCTGGAAGAAGCAGCCTGGGGGGACAGGACACAAGGTCCTAAGACCCTAGCTCCTTCTTGAGGGCCTTTGCTCCTGGGTGCCTAAACCACACCAGTCCTGCGCTCATTTGCTAGAGTTCAGGGGTGCCCTGCAGAGAGCCTGGAAAAATGACGGGAAGGAAGAAGTTGGCACACGGGGGCTCAGCTCTGGAAACTTCTCTCTATTCCCTGGGCCAGCCCGCCTGGCAGTAACTGTAGCTCAGGACTCCAGGGGCTCAGAGGGAGGCAGGGCAGATGTTTCCTTACCTGGAACCAGGTAAAGGGAAAGCTTGTGATCTGCCCCATAGGGTCTGGGACCCAGCTGTTTGCTTCAGTGTTTGCTCTGGACACTTGCTTTGGTGGAGAAATGGGAAACGTGACCCAGAGGTGACACTCTTCCGTGTTCGGCTGCTGTGGCCTCTCAAGAGTCTCTGGTCAGGTTTAAGAATTCTGGCCCTTTGGACCCAGGAAGGGAGGAAATGCAGATTGCATGTATTTTTAGCAGGTGGGGAGGTGATGAATGGAAGACAGACTGAGAGACCCTGAGATGTGCCATCCAGCATGACCTCAGTGACCATCTGAGACCGTGTGTCCCCAGACAGCAGGAGCCTCTATCAATAATCAGCAATATTTACAAGTTCCTCCCTGATGTGAGGCACAGTGCTGGGCTCTGCAGGGGTCACCTAGATAGATTCATCACCACACCTGCCTGCCAGGAGCTTCAGTCACCTGAAGTGTCATATGCCATCCCCACGCCACTGCCACTGTTATAAGCGTTGGGTGAAACTCCAAGGATCCCGGATGGCCAGCCGCACACATCAGCTAGATGGATATTCTGGGGCCCCGCTGACACCGTGTGCTCACTTGGTCATTGCCACCAATTGTGACCACCTGCTGCCTGCAAGGTGATATACCAGGGGCTCAGGGCACAAACATAGCCGATTTGTCACAGGTTCCAATTTGTAGGTAAACTTGGCCAGAAGCTCCCTCTCTTGGGTCTGCTAGCCCTGTATATCACCCACCTGCGTTGTTCGGTCATTTATTGCTCTGTGTATCTGTCACCCACACAGACTGGGGCACATTGAGGGCATAGACTGTCACTTCTTCCTCCATTTCTAATGCCCAAAGTAAAGACTAGATCCTAGGAATGCGATAGAAGGTACCCAACAAACTTCTGTGGAGTGAATAAATGAATGAAAATGGTCCAAGTCCTCAGAGACCTAATGCCTATCCAGAAACACTAACTAACCCAGAGAGGCACCATGCGCTGGGAGGGGTGGGGCCAGCAGTCTAGAAGTTAGGGGCCTTGGTGGTGGAGTCCTGGGTTCCAACTTCTGGCAGTGTGATTTGGGGCAGCCTCTGAAGCCTCAGTGTCCTCATCTGTCAAATGGAAAGAATGGCTTTCAGCTCAGAAGGTAAGGACGTGATGATGTGATAATGCCGGTGGAGAGCCAGGCAGAGAGCATGGCCTTAGTAAAGGTAGCTGCTGCTTTTCCTTAACCACATTTTGATGACGTGTGACATGGGTGGGAGAGGTGACAGGCGCTCTAAAGGCCCGAAGAGGGGCTGCTTGGGAGAGATTCGGAGGTGGACTGTGCTTGGAGCACCGCCCCAAGGAAGGGAAGGGAGGTGCATGGACAAGCCTTGAGAAGAAGATAGGAGGCATTTTATTCGAGAATGCACGTGCGATCATCGCAGAGACTAGGAGTGCGGGCTGGCGGGAGGGCACGCCATCAGCGATAAGGGCGGAGAGACAAGTTGGGGCCCGGCCCCGGAGACCTTGAATGCCAGGCTAAGGGGTGGAGAAGTTGTCCCAGTGGATTTCCATTTCTGGCTGGGGTGGCCATGGATGACACAGGGGAGCGAGGCAGCCTCCCATTTCCTTCGCAGACTCGAAGGCAGATCCTTTTCTCCTCACCCCTCTGGGGGAGCTCATCTGGCCCCTTCTGAGCTTGATCTCTGCGGAGACCCCCTGGCTGCTCCTTGGGGATCAATTCTTAAATGTAATTCTAACGTCAGCCCCTGAGATGGGCAAGCAGGTTGGCAAGCAGCCAAAAGACCGAAGTTTGAACCCCAGCTCTGTTTCTGTGGGCACAGCCCAGCCCGTCTCTACGCCCGAGTTCCCCGCTACAGCTGGAGGTGAGCGTAGGTGACCCCCAAGATCTGTCCCTCTCCAATGACCTGGCTCGGCTCTGCACTTAAGCCCGGACTCACCCGCCCTGTTTATTTCATGGCCTGTGTTCTCCTCTGGTGCCAGTTTTACCAAAGTAACCTCCGCACCTGGCTGCTCGCGCTGGCCCATACTGGAGGGTGTTTTGAAACGGTAAAAGTGCCAGGAGTTTAGGCCCCCGGCTAATACTTTGTGAGTTAATTCCTGGGAAAGATGAGCCTGCCTGAACATCTTCCCGTAGGCCAGCTGCTGGGACGCACAAATACGGGAAGCTGCCGATGGGGAATGCCTTGAAATTTCCACAGTTCGGAACCTTCTCAAACGGAGCGCCGGGCCGTGGGGCTATTTTCAGGGTGCTAGATACTCCCCCTGCACCGGTGGTGGTCTTGGGCCTGGCCGCACTGATGTCCGGGGAGGCATAGGCAGATCGACCGGGTCCCCATGTCTGCCTCCCTGCCGGGGAAGGGGTCTCGGCAACGGCCGCTTCAGTTTGAGACAAGTCCTGTGCCGTCAGGCACATGGTCTCTGGGTTCAGACAGACCCACGTTTGCATCTGAGCCTGGCACTTCCTGGAAATGTAGTCTTGGAGTCCTCCTCTCTGGGCCTCAGTTTTCTTATGCAGAGAAGGGGAAAGAGTATACTTTCTCATCAGCAGGGTGATGACGTGTGCAACATAGTGGGGGTTCAATAAATGGACCCGCGCCTATTATTGTTATCATTGGGTGATTTTTAACCGCAGGCTAGACCCAGTGGCGTCCTGGTTTCGGAGGGAGCAGAACTAATTCTAAGGAAGAACTGAGGAAGGGGAATAAGGCTGGAAATTAGGCACATCTGGGTCACGGGAAAGCAAGAGGCAAGACCTAGGGTTTGTTCCAGGTCCTGGCAGTCCAGCCTCGCCCCACTGCACTTTCCTCACCTGGAAAAGGGGGATTAACAGTCCCGCACCAGGTCCCGTGAGATGTGGTTCTGGTCCCGGATAGGGTTCTCCTCCTTTCCCGAGTAAGCTGAGCATCTCAGGTATGCACAGCCCGTGGGGGGCAACCCTCTCGGCCAAAATATCTGGGCTTCTGGAGGCTGGGTGTGAAGCGTGGCTGGTACAGAGGTCAGAGGTTTGCAGACTCAATGCCCTCACCTCCGGCCTGGCTGTAGGAGGCCGTCTACACCCTGAGCTTGCCAAGCCTGACCCTGACACTGACGGTTCGGCTCAGGTACACGTGAGCCGGCCAGCTGGCGTGGCCCTCCGCTGACGAGTTTGCAGGAATGAGGTGCTCATCGGGGGCTAGAGCTGAGACTTTAATCCGGGGTCATCAGCAGGAGGGGGCTCATTGCTCTGAGCTGGCCGTAAAAGATCTAGAGAAGCTGTTTCCAACAAGATGGGATTTCGTGGGGATAAATGCTACACCCTGTCCTGTGGTCCCAGACCCAGCTGCCTAACTAAGGATTAGGTCACCATGCAAGTAGAGGAAGGCCCTGGGGATTTCATTAGCTGCATCCTCCCTGTGACTCCCTTCTGGGAACCATTTATTTAACCAGGAGACATTTCCGATGTGCTCATCATATGCCAGGAACGTGGAGATGAGCAAAAGGCAATCCCCATCTTGAGAGAGCTCTTAGTCTATTGTAAACATCCTAAAAGCTAACGTCATTTGGGGCTCTGTGATTGGAAGTATTATACCCCAGATGAGGGGGATGAAGTTCTACTGAGCTTTGTGAGTTGTGTTGCCTTCCAAAATACAGTTCTGAGCATCCCAAACGCCCTCTTATTTGTTCATTTTAAAGAGACCAGAATGGAGATAGGAAACCAGAACCTTCAAGGAGCTATATGGAAAGCCCCAGAATTCTTAATAAATATCAGGTCAGACCCTGCAAAGTTGACAGCAGAGAGAGAATCGCCCCATGCGGAGGGGAGCCCCAATGCTAGTCTCCCTGCTTTTAACCCCCTTTGCCCTCCTTAAGGGAGCAGGGGTGTTAATCCGTCAGGAAGTGGGCGTTTCTCCTTGCTGGGGATGTTCCCCGGTCTCAGATCGAAGGCCCGGAGGT